GGAGGGAGAGAGAAAGGGAGAGAGAGAGAACGAGAGAAAGAGAGAGGGAGGGAGGGAGAGAGAGGGGGGGAGGGTGTAAGAGCAAATAGATATACTTTATAATCAATAAAAGTTTGCCGTTATTTTAAATTCACTAGGTTTCCATGTATTCTAAAGAAACGTTCATGTGTTCAGTGTTCAGTTGTAAGGGATCTGAGTGTGGCAATTTTCCAGGGCCATGAGTGTGTGACCGTGAGCTGAACGTGACAGCAGCCTCTTCGCACTGCTAGGTGACCACAAAGTAGCACAGCACAATTCCTCATCCTTGGACCTGCATAAGGCCATTACGTACCGATGCCTTCAGCAAAGTTGGGGTAGAGTTCGTCCGTGAAGAGAGGCTCTGGCAGCTCCCTAAAGTAGAGCTTGAGTGTTCCCGCAATCGCGTTCACGTCCATCTCGCTCATCATGACGGAGACGTCTTTGTTATCTGCAAGAAGGAAAGAAAGTCTTTACTCAGGCAGGATTATCACGTGCTCCAGCTGAGAAAACTGTCATAACTGCAGGAATTTTCCAAATCTGTGAGAAATATATCCTGGGGATTTACACCCCCTTCTCTCTTTTGTGCAACTGTTAGGAACCAATCAACTCCACGATTATGAAATTGTGGTTGCCAGAGATTATGAATGCTTCCAAATTGTAATTTGTTTCATCCAGTGGCTTCCACATCTGGTTTAATGACAAGGCCTGATGTGTGGTAACTTGGCACGATGACAAAGAATAAACTGAGCAGCAGCAGCACCATCAGATGGATTGTGCCTCCCAGCAGAAGTAACAATGAAAGAGGACTCCCAATATGGAAAGTATCTCAAGTTTTGACATTGCCCAGAAACCAGCAGAGAACAACCTGCGATGGACAGATGGACCGTCTCCTCTTCTGGTCCCATTCTCGTGACTGACCGTCGCCACAGGCTGCTCTGAACTGATTTCCTCTTAATAGAACAGGAAGCGTCCCAAGTAAATACTCACTGATATCGAAAGCAGCTTTCAGAGCCTGGATATCAGTGGCAACTCCAGAGACCCGGTAAATGCCCACCTCTTCCATGCCCCGGCGTTCAATCTCCTCCACACACTGGCGCACAATGTAAGGCACCTTGGATCGCTCCCTCCTAAAGACGGATAAAGTGGTTAGAGGAAGCAGGGGCTGCTTGGGGCAACAGCCTTTTGTCCCACAGGATAGGAGCCATCAGCTCGACCACGTGGTCGCCCTGCAGACCCGGAGCAGAATGACTTGTTAGTACTGTACTATGGAGAATTGGTGGGAAGAATTTTGCCAAAAGATAAAGCCTAAATCATTTTCTTAATCCCATTAGCAAGCCTGGGGAGAGGAGAAGTCCGCTCTTTTCTGGCCCAGCATAATCAATAAGAGTAAAATACTTCAGTGGATTTGGTGTAGAAGGTCAGGAATCATATTTATTCAGCAACTTTAATACTGTGACTGTTTGGACAATAAAGAAAAATACAGATAAAATATCACTTGGTTTATTTGAAATTCTGAATATAAAATTTCTGGACAGTTTACACCAGCACACAGGACAACCTTCTATGGATCACAGGCAATTTTCCCATCTTCCCTTTCTGGCCATTTAGTGGCAGAATTTGTTTCACTAAAGTCTTGAAAGACGGTGAACAAACTGTCTTGAGGCCAGCAGTCCAAAGTACTTAGAAAAGTTATTCAACTCTTTAGCATGCTTTTATTAAAATGTGTGTGTGAGAGAAACCCTAAATATCCATCCATTTAGTAATACTCTCTCAATATTGCTATCACAATGTTTAAGAAGAAAATGGGCATCCTCAGCTAGCAGGGATTCAGCAGGGACACCGAGGGCCTCAGTCCAAGAGTGACGGGGGCAGGACTCTCTCCTGGGGAGGCTGGGAGACTTTTAAGGGGTGAAATGAGGACCCAAGGCCTGCAAGACCCAAGATGCCCATTTTCCCCTATCAACCTCTCAAAACCTGAAAGCCTGCAAGGGGATAGACACGTCTGGCCCCACTCCCTCTGGAGGCCATGAAATGGAAGCTGGCGGGCCCCGTGTGTCCCCTCAGCCTCTCTGATCCCAACTGAGGAAATGGGATCGTTTTCCTACATGGCACTTCCTCACCAAAGCTGGTGGGCTGATGTCCTCCCCAAAAGGCGTAGGAGATAAAACTGTGAGGCGACAGGAACTGAGACCTGATCACACTCCTGTAAGGAGGTCAAAGTCCCTCAGGTATTCGGTGGAAAATGGTGAACCACAATTGTCAGGCCCAAAACAGCCCTATGGTGCTCTCTCTCGTCTGCGGACCTTAATTCTTAAGACCAGGAACAGGAAGGCATAAAAGGAATTTCTCTCTCTCTCGGCCCACCTTACTGATCATAACTTAACAATATCCCTACAGCAGATGAGAAGGAGGGAGGAACTCACTTGGTGACAACCCCAATCTTTACTCCAAATACTCCTGTTTGTTTTCGAGACGGCATCCTCTTTAGACTGAACTCTCTGCTTGTGAACTTCACGGAGAGCTTCACTTCGACCTTGGAAAGAGAGAAACCCTCAGTTCCTTGTTCCAGGTTATGCTGGACTGCCCCCCCCCAGGGCCGCAGAGGGCCAGCAGCAGAAGGGAGCTTTGGGGAGAGGCCCCTGTGCCCAGGCCAAGGTGGGCTACTCTGGCATTCTTCACCCACCAAGTCAAAAAGGAATAGAAACAGCAAAGCTACAAGAGAAGGGAGCATCTAAGAAAGAAAACCTAACCCATCATCAATTGATAAGGCTCCTTTTAATTAAAATAAGCAATAGGCCAGAAAATATTTCAAAATATTTCAGTTTTCCTTGTGCCCTGTAGAAACAGCCTTTTTGATGATGGCTTTAGCTCTGATTGCTCATGCTTTGCTTCTTTTCCTTTAGTGTGCTTTTCCAGGTATTGTTTCTTTGGGCATAGGCTGCTATCCAAATACAAGGCCAATTCCTTGTGCAGGAGTCATAATGGAATTGATTGAGCGAAGATGATTCCCTATTACGCATCATTAATGTAAGTGTAAGGAATTAGATGGCTGATTGCTTCTTTTCAGCAAAGATAACTGATTTAATTCTGATAAGAAGCATCATAAGCCGGGTGCGTAAACATGATCACATGACCAGGGAGAGCTGGAAACGAGGAATCTGCACCAGAGAAGCTGTTCGAGTCTGTAGACCTCATCCCAAAGATGTTTTTTTCCAAAAGGCAACTGGACTTTCTTGGGTTTTTTCCCTCTGAAAACATTTCACTTCACATCCAAGAAGCTTCTTCAGTTCTTCAGAACTGAGGAAGCTTCTTGGATGAGAAGTGAAATGTTTTCAAAGAAAAAAAACCCCAAGAACGTCCAATTGCCTTTTGGAAAAAAGCACCTTTGGGACAACCATGACCTGGATGACAGAGAATCTGCCTAATGCTCTGCCTTACCCCGTTCATGAAGATGACGGTGCGTTGCCAGTCTTTCTCTTGCAAGCTTTGGGCATCCAGCTGAAAAACAAATTGATCCGGCATTCAACTCCTCCGCTCAACAGGCCAAATCATTATTTTATCTGAGAAATCAAGATCAGCTGAAAAAGAATCCTACCCAGTTTTCTTGTAAGGCAGAAAGTTCATAGCTCTGCACAGCATAAAATAAATTAGAAAACACTCATTTTTATGCTTTGGATTATTGCTCATTTCCATCCCAGGAAAAAGCTAAAATGTTTTAGATATGCATAGATTTATTGTGAACGCCAAACTTAGGTCCATCTTTTTTCCCCCTGATTTTGCGACTGGAGCCACGCAGAATTTCTGGCAGTTTCTTCCCAGCGGAGTCTCCCTTGCCTGAGCCTGGATTGTTATATGTGATCAGAGACAATGAGAACTCTTGAGGGATCCTGAGCCAGGAGGGTGGGATAGTATCGGCCTTCCAAGGCAGACCAGACAGGAACCACAGCCAGATCAGCTAAGTCTACTTTATGGTACGGCTGCATTAACAGACTCTCTCTGGAGTACAAGGAAATGAGGGAGGGTCCCTTCTGAGCCTCTTGTCCTCCCCTCTACCCAGCTGCAGGTGATGCAGTCTCCTATCTGACCATTCCCTGGGCAGCATCTGGCACCACCACAAGGTCTTTCCCACACACCCCTACAACTAGTGGGACATCAGTTGGTGCTCAACAGCAGGCTTGGATGCACGGGGCCTGCTTTTCAGAGAGTCCAGATGCTACAACCGTTAAGGAACTGGGTGCCTTTCTCTGCCCAGATCGGATCAGCTGCTTCCTTGGTGTCTCTGTTGTGATGATGTTTCCTGCTGCAATTTTGCAGACTTCCCACTTGAAGGCCCGATGCACAAAATCACCAGAGGCCTCCTCCCTGCATCACATCCCACAGCACTGCCTAGGCCCTAGACCAGGGGTAGGCAACCTTGGCTCTTTTATGACTGGTGGACTTCAACTCCCAGAATTCCTGAGCCAGCATGGGGGAACTATGGCCCCTTCATGACTGGTGGACTTCAACTCCCAGAATTCCTGAGCCAGCATGGCTCAGCTTGGAAACCTCTCTCTTTCCCCTCAGCATGGCTGGCTCAGGAATTCTGGGAGCTGAAGTCCACCAGTCATAAAAGAGCCAAGGTTGCCTACCCCTGACCTAAACATTTAGCAGTGCCCCAAAGGATGGGCGGATGCAACCTCCACCAAGGATTCCTTTGCAGAGGGACTTAGCTCAGGGGAGACCAGCAGGGGGTGAACGAGAGGTAGCTAAGTAGGGGCCAGTTTCCCAGGCACGATGGGGGGCGGGGGGGGACTTAAAAACTGTGCTCCAGTTATTCTCACAATGCATTAAATGCTGAATGTGCAAATCCTACTACAATCAACAACAGTTAAAAAGCCACTTTGCCCAAGAGGGAAGCCTGCATTCCCCTCTCTACGTACACCCACGTATGGAAGGAAGGGGAAAAGAGAGGTTTTCAGGGAAATTCTGGAAGGAAGGCCAGTTAAGAGTGACCCCTTTGATTTACACAATCCCAAAGCACACACTTTCAGCTGAGGTGGTGAATAGGAAACAAACAATGGCGACATAAGCCAAAAGAGTACAGACAGTCTTGACCAGTGTTTCTCAACCTGGGCAACTTTAAGATGGATGGACTTCAACTCCCAGAATTCCCCAGCCAGCAAAGCTGGCTGGGGAATTCTGGGAGCTGAAGTCCATCCATCTTAAAGTTGCCCAGGTTGAGAAACACTGGTCTTGACTTAGGACTCGCTGCTTGGTGACTGAAGTTATGGTGGACCCTAAAAACAGTACTTGTGATCCAGATTTGAAGTTATGCCAGCCTCCCTCCCTCCCATGGACACGTAATCCCATGTGGGGTGCCATTGGCAGCGTCCCGTGCTCACAGGACCATGATTTATGAGGCTTTTCATTCAAACAGGCATTCACTTCTGGCTTCTGGCAAAAAACGCCCATCTGCTTAACAACTGTGGCATTCACACAATGACTGGCAATTTGCTCAACAACCAGGGCGATCGGCTTAATGGCAGCTGTCAAAAAGTGTTGCAAAATCCGGTTGGTCATGTGATGAACCACTTAAAAATTGCCACAACGTACGACTATACTTCTGGGCTCAATTGCTGTCATAAGACAAGGACTCCCTGTATATGCGATTTCATTCCAGGTTAAGTGGAAATTAAATATGCCCATCCCTTATTGGCCAAGGTCAACCCCCCCAACCCACGGCAGCCCCCCCACCTGGATTTGGCCTTTGCCCACAATGCGGTCCGTGGTCTCGCCATCTTCTTTGCTCTTGTGGTAGCTCTTCTCGTAGCACAGGATCCGCAGCGTCTGGGATCCCTCCAGCTCGATCTCAAACTCCTGCGGGAGAGAAGGGCAGCGCCAGGGGCATTTCAGAAGATCCCCAAATGACCCTCAGGACCACAAACGTCAGAGCTTTGGGCAGGAGAGAAAAGAACAGCCAAGGAGTCTCCTTCAAAGCATCTGTGAGGTCAAATTGGGGTATTTTGCCGATTCTTCACGGCTTTCTTTCCAAGATTCACCATTGAATCCAAAGTCAGCGCAGCTCCTTCCTTGCTAGGAGCCCCGGGGAACCTGCGGCTGAGTATGCTACGTCTCCCAACCAGCCAACACAGCTCAAAAGCAGCCCTTTTTCTGAGAAAGATGCAGAAGTCAGTTACTCACTTTTAGGGCTGGCTGGGAAATGCATTTTCTTAAGTCAGAATAAAAATGGTTTGGGAAAAATAAAATTATAATAAACTTAGAAAAGAAGAACCATTTTGACAGGAGCACAATATACAAACTAAGCCAGACGTGGGTAAAATAAAGGGTTTTTAAAGATATGTCACCCAATTGTGGCATATTTTACTCACCTATTTAATTCATATTTATACCAGCTTATTTATTGTCTTGAAATTGTTTTCCCCACCTCCCAACTCAATACTGGGTTGGATCTAATCCAATAACTAGATCCATTTATTCTAAAGAGTAACTGATCTCTAAACCAGCCTTCCCAGTTTTCCTTACAAAACCAAAATGTTGTGCCTTAGCGTGCAAATGGCTCTCATGCCGCAATGCTCCCCATTTGGAGGAAGGCGGATGCCCTCCTTTTCTCCCTCCAAGGGAGGATTTCTTAGGTCCATCTGAACCCTAAAACACCCCCCAGCCAGGGCACAAGGCAAGAAGGAAGTGCCTGAAAGCTCAGCTGCTTAGGTGCATAGCCCCCCCCACACACACACACACTGCTCCCACCTACCTCGTTCCAGTTGGGCTCTGCGGTGTCTCTGTAAACCCTCGTTTTGGCCTTGTTCACAAAGTACCCGAAGGAATCCACTTCAAGGGTGCAGTACAAGCCTAGGGGGGGGAGTGGGGGGGGGGGAGACAGAAACCACCACTCAGGTAAGGGTCCCTGGGGCTGCAGGGAGTCCTCTGCCTACCCCTGGCCTAGGCCACGCTGGGCAACCTTTGGATCAGGAGAGCACCTCGCTCCTCAGCCACGTTCCATGGCTTTCTTGCGCTGAGCACCCCTGCTGGTCAGGCCTTTCATTCAGGCCCAATGCTAAGCCCCAAAGAGGGCCCTCCGTCCCACTCTGCGTGACGGCTGTTCTGCCCCTCTGCACACCTGCCGGGCACCTCCACTCACTTGAGCTCTGCTTGAAACCAGTGGCGGAATGGACAATCACGTTCAGGAACCCGCAGAGGCCGGAGGGTTCGTCATCTGTGTCAGAAACAAACAAGGGGATAATCGGGGCAGCTCCACGGGGCTCCCCAGAGCAAGGCGAAAATTCTGCATTAGGGAGGGAGGGAGGAGATTTGAACACTCAGAGCACCCAGGTTTGGTAACCCTGAGGTTGTTGCTTGAGAAACCTAAGCAGCATCAATTTAGCTCTATAAATTTTAGCGTTCCAATCGCTAATTTGGAATCCCTTCCCAAATCCAGAGATCAGGTTACAGGTAGTCCTCAATGTACATTCACAATTGGGATTGGAACTCCCACCACTAAGCGAGGTGACCACTAAGTGAATCAAATTCAATTTTATGACTTTTTACTGGCCGTTAAGTGAATCACCATGCATGTGACTCAATGGCTTCCCCCATTGACTTCGCTTGTTGGGAGTCAACTGGGAAGATCACAAACGGCAATCATGTGATGCCGCAACTGTCACAAATACATGCTGGTTGCCAAGTGTCTGATCACGTGACCGCAGGGACGTTGCAGAGGTCTTAAAAGTGAGGACTGGTTGTAAGTCACTTTTTCAGTGCTATCATAACTTTGAATGGTCACTAAACAAACTGTTGTTAAGTCGAGACTACCTGTTGTGCTAATGCTGTTTTGCTGGAGGCCCAACTCTTTCAAGGGCTGCAGCAAGGGGCTGGTTCTCTACAGAACAGGAGGGGGGCATCCCTTGTGTGTCTCTAAGGCCCCCGAGGCCCCTCCTTCCTCCCAGCCCCCCTCATCACTGGGCAGGAGGGCAGCACACTCAGTCCAGGATCCACCCCCCCGCACCCCCCCCCCCGACTTCATGCTCCAACCGTCAGGGCAGGGGCTGGGCAGAAAGGACCCTGGCTCTGTTCAGCCGTGGACGAAGCAGGGAGATTAGTGCAAGGGAGGGCTGTGGGGCTGGTCCTTCTCGCACACTCACCTTCTTTGTTAATTGTGAGGGGAATGTGATGCACCGTCTGAAGCTTCACACAAGAATTTGTTAGCATCTGGAGTTCCACCGATGTCAGCGAAAAACTTTTGAAGCCTGCAGTTCAGAGGAGATTGACATGCTTGGGGAATGGAGACTCCTTTTTCTCCTCCTGACTTGGAAGTGGGAAAGGACCATCCTGGGCTTTGGGAACTGCTGCCGGGAAGACCTTGGACACCCCCCCCCCACCCTTCCATCTGTGTGTGGACAATGCAAAGCCTCCGGCCCAGGGCACAAGGCGCCTTCTCTCACAGCAAGCAGCTTGGCCCTCCCCAGGACCCCTTTAGCAAAGAGCCCAGCATGGTGGAGGGATATGGAGCTAGACGCCCACCCTGGCTCAGTGGAAGGAGAAGCGCTAGAAGAGACTTCTGCGGCCAGCAGGGACCACATGCAAGACAAGCCCCACTTCTACCTTCGCCCTCCCCAACCCATGCAGGGAACTGGGCCATGATGCACCTCTCTGGGCAGCCTTGGCGCACCCCAAATGCCACTTGGCCAACCCACAGGGAGAGGATTCTGCCGGGGCACATACATTTCTTCTGCTGCTCTCGGACAATCTCTCGCCATTCAGCCCGTTCGTAATCCGAGGACATGAGGAAGGTGTAGCTCTAAGGGGGAAGAAGCAGCAGGTTGCAACCCAGAGAAGCCACAATTCCAAAGTTATATATTTTCATCCAGCAATTCTGCATGTCCAAAATCTACTCTAGAGTTTCCTGCCTGATAACTCAGCCTATGTTGCTTCGACTTTACTAAAATAATTAAAATACGATGTATAACGCATGGATCACTAGATGCATAAACTTTATTATATAATCCACTATGCAAAACTATACCACAAACAATAATTAAAGAATATTAAATAATAGCCACAAAACATACAAAGTGAGAAAGAAAGTGAGATGTAAAAGGGCTTCTTTGGGACTCTGTTTCATATAATTTTTGGCAAATCCTTGCAATTGACTCATTAGCATATTTATTCAGGCAATATAGCAGGTCTTTGACTTTCAACCAAAAGTGGGCCCAGAATTTCGGCTGCTGATTAAGTGGCAGCAGAACCTTTTTTGTTAGGCTCATCACTGCAGTTCTTAAGTGAATCACGTGGTTAAGAAAATCCAGCTGCCCCCATTGACTTTGGGGAGAGACGGCTGGGAGGGGGCCAATGTCTTTCGTGTGACCCGGGGCTGCTGCGACCGCCGCAAATATGTGCCCGTTGCCAAAAGCCTGAATTTTGGTCACATGACAGCGGGAAGAATGGGGAAGTTATAAGGGTGAGGACCGGCTGTAAGTCATTGTTTTCAGTGCCATTGGAATTTATGAATGGAGGTTAAACAAATTGTTGTAAGTCAAGGACTGCCTCTATAAACTAGAAAGAACTGCAAAAGAGAGCATTGTAAAGCAGGCGGATCTCTTGACCAGCAACCACACGGACTCGGCTATCTGGGCAGTCAGACACACACACACCCCTCCCTCCGAGGGTGCCCAGGCAGAGCAGTCTGGTGCTGTGGCACCGAAGCCGAGCTGAAACGTGGCCCTGCTTCGGAGAGGTGAGTTGCAGGCGCATCTCCTCCTGGATGTGGGACTTCAAGGCTGGAGACCTTCAGCCACTCTGGCCGGGCAGACTGGACATGGGATGGGTAGAGGCTGCCCAGAAGGCTAAAGCCGGGTGGGAACAACGTAGGTGCCAATCTCTCCTGGGTGCTGAGAAGCTCTCGCCTGCTGACACGATTCACAGAGCCCAGGACCAGGCTTGACTGCTGCAAGCACCTCTCCTTTTCCCTGAGGGGGGCTGGCTGGAAGTCAGGGTTCCACATCTGCTCCCTCCCCCCCCTGACAAAGATGACTGGTGGACTGATACATTACAGGGGACTCCATGCCATGGACTGTTGAAATGTANATTGGAAACACAGCTGATAATATTTGGTTTTAATTCGGCTTTTATCGGGGTTTATTCTTTTGTATTTTTGTATTTTTGTATTGTGTATTTTTTGTATTTTGGGTATATTATTTGTTTTTAATATGCTGTGAACCGCCCTGAGTCCTATGGGAGAAGGGCGGTATACAAATTAAAATAATAATAATAATAATAATAATAAGGCCCCCAAGGCCCCTCCTTCCTCCCAGCCCCCCGCACCCCCCCCCCCCGACTTCATGCTCCAACCATCACGGCAGGGGCTGGGCAGAAAGGATCCTGGCTCTGTTCAGCTCTGGATGAAGCAGGGAGATTAGTGCAAGGGAGGGCTGTGGGGCTGGTCCTTCTCGCACACTCACCTTCTTTGTTAATTGTGAGGGGAATGTGATGCACCGTCTGAAGCTTCACACAAGAATTTGTTAGCATCTGGAGTTCCACCGATGTCAGCGAAAAGCTTTTGAAGCCTGCAGTTCAGAGGAGATTGACATGCTTGGGGCACGGAGACTCCTTTTTCTCCTCCAGACTTGGAAGTGGGAAAGGACCATCCTGGGCTTTGGGAACTGCTGCCGGGAAGACCTTGGACACCCCACCACCCTTCCATCTGTGTGTGGACAATGCAAAGCCTCCGGCCCAGGGCACAAGGCGCCTTCTCTCACAGCAAGCAGCTTGGCCCTCCCCAGGACCCCTTTAGCAAAGAGCCCGGCATGGTGCAGGGATATGGAGCTAGACGCCCACCCTGGCTCAGTGGAAGGAGAAGCGCTAGAAGAGACTTCTGCGGCCAGCAGGGACCCCATGCAAGACAAGCAATCTACCTTCGCCCTCCCCAACCCATGCAGGGAACTGGGCTGCGATGCACCTCTCTGGGCAGCCTTGGCGCACCCCAAATGCCACTTGGCCAACCCACAGGGAGAGGATTCTGCCGGGGCACGTACATTTCTTTTGCTGCTCTCGGACGATCTCTCGCCATTCAGCCCGTTCGTAATCCGAGGACATGAGGAAGGTGTAGCTCTAAGGGGGGAAGAAGCAGCAGGTTGCAACCCAGAGAAACCACAATTCCAAAGTTATATGTTTTCATCCAGCAATTCTGCATGTCCAAAATCTACTCTAGAATTTCCTGCCTGATAACTCAGCCTATGTTGCTTCGACTTTACTGAAATAATTAAAATACGATGTATAACGCATGGATCACTAGATGCATAAACTTTATTATATAATCCACTATGCAAAACTATACCACAAACAATAATTAAAGAATATTAAATAATAGCCACAAAACATACAAAGTGAGAAAGAAAGTGAGATGTAAAAGGGCTTCTTTGGGACTCTGTTTCATATAATTTTTGGAAAATCCTCCACTCAGAAGTTTTGCAATTGACTCATTAGCATATTCATTCAGGTAATATAGCAGGTCTTTGACTTACAACCAAAAGTGGGCCCAGAATTTCAGTTGCTGATTAAGTGGCAGCAGAACCCTTTTTGTTAGGCTCATCACTGCAGTTCATAAGTGAATCACGTGGTTAAGAAAATCCAGCTGCCCCCGTTGACTTTGGGGAGAGACGGCTGGGAGGGGGACCAATGTATTTCGTGTGACCCGGGGCTGCTGCGACCGTCGCAAATATGTGCCCGTTGCCAAAAGCCTGAATTTTGGTCACATGACAGTGGGAAGAATGGGGAAGTTATAAGGGTGAGGACCGGCTGTAAGTCATTGTTTTCAGTGCCATTGGAATTTATGAATGGAGGTTAAACAAATTGTTGTAAGTCAAGGACTGCATCTATAAACTAGAAAGAACTGCAAAAGAGAGCATTGTAAAGCAGGCGGATCTCTTGACCAGCAACCACAAGGACCCGGCTATCTGGGCAGTCAGACACACACACACCCCTCCCTCCGAGGGTGCCCAGGTGGAACAGTCGGGTGCTGTGGCACCGAAGCCGAGCTGAAACGTGGCCCTGCTTCGGAGAGGTGAGTTGCAGGCGCATCTCCTCCTGGATGTGGGACTTCAAAGCTGGAGACCTTCAGCCACTCTGGCCGGGCAGACTGGACATGGGATGGGTAGAGGCTGCCCAGAAGGCTAAAGCTGGGTGGGGACAATGCAGGTGCCAATCTCTCCTTGGTGCTGAGAAGCTCTCGCCTGCTGACACGATTCACAGAGCCCAGGACCAGGCTTGACTGCTGCAAGCACCTCTCCTTTTCCCTGAGGGGGGCTGGCTGGAAGTCAGGGTTCCACATCTGCTCCCTCCCCCCCCTGACAAAGATGACTGGTGGACTGATACATTACAGGGGACTCCATGCCATGGACTGTTGAAATGTANTGCCTACCCCTGCACTTGGCCACACTGGGAAACCTTTGGATCAGGAGAGCACCTCGCTCCTCAGCCACGTTCCACGGCTTTCTTGCGCTGAGCCCCCCCCCCGCTGGTCAGGCCTTTCATTCAGGCCCAATGCTAAGCCCCAAAGAGGGCCCTCCGTCCCACTCTGCGTGACGGCTGTTCTGCCCCTCTGCACACCTGCCAGGCACCTCCACTCACTTGAGCTCTGCTTGAAACCAGTGGCGGAATGGACAATCACGTTCAGGAACCCGCAGAGGCCGGAGGGTTCGTCATCTGTGTCAGAAACAAACAAGGGGATAATTGGGGCAGCTCCACGGGGCTCCCCAGAGCAAGGCGAAAATTCTGCATTAGGGAGGGAGGGAGGAGATTTGAACATTCAGAGCACCCAGGTTTGGTAACCCTGAGGTTGTTGCTTGAGAAACCTAAGCAGCATCAATTTAGCTCTATAAATTTTAGCGTTCCAATCGCACGAAACAAATCTTTTGGAATCCCTTCCCAAATCCACAGATCAGGTTACAGGTAGTCCTCAACGTACATTCACAATTGGGATCGGAACTCCCACCACTAAGCGAGGTGGCCACTAAGTGAATCAAATTCAATTTTATGACTTTTTTACTGGCCATTAAGTGAATCACCATGCATGTGATTCAATGGCTTCCCCCATTGACTTCGCTTGTTGGGAGTCAGCTGGGAAGATCACAAACGGCAATCATGTGATGCCGCAACTGTCACAAATACATGCTGGTTGCCAAGTGTCTGATCATGTGACCGCAGGGACATTGCAGAGGTCTTAAAAGTGAGGACTGGTTGTAAGTCACTTTTTCAGTGCTATCATAACTTTGAATGGTCACTAAACAAACTGTCGTTAAGTCGAGACTACCTGTTGTACTAATGCTGTTTTGCTGGAGGCCCAACTCTTTCAAGGGCTGCAGCAAGGGGCTGGTTCTCTACAGAACAGGAGGGGGGCACCCCTTGTGTGTGTTCCTCCCCATCCAGACCGTACGGGTCTGGATGGGGAGGAACAGACTCAGGCTCAACCCTTCCAAGACTGAGTGGCTGTGGCTGCCGGCGCCTCGGCATAGTCAGCTGACCCCATCGCTGACTATAGGGGGCGAAACTTTGGCCCCCTCAGAGAGGGCCCGCAACTTGGGAGTCCTCCTGGATCCACGGCTGACATTGGAAGACCATTTGTCGGCNGGTGCTGAGAAGCTCTCGCCTGCTGACACGATTCACAGAGCCCAGGACCAGGCTTGACTGCTGCAAGCACCTCTCCTTTTCCCTGAGGGGGGCTGGCTGGAAGTCAGGGTTCCACATCTGCTCCCTCCCCCCCCTGACAAAGATGACTGGTGGACTGATACATTACAGGGGACTCCATGCCATGGACTGTTGAAATGTAAAGCCCGCCTGAGGTGCCCAAGTCAGAAAAACAGCCTCCCTGCCACGTTGAAGGCCGCCTTTCCCGTGCCCGGATCTTAAGCAGGCCGAGGCAGAGAATGTCACCAGGCCCTGGTGGCAGAACCAGGAGGCAGTGACGGCATTTCGAAAGAGAGCTCAGAGAGGAACCACGTTCTTTGCCCCTGAGCTTGGAAAGGGCTCCCCACACTTCCGCAAATAACTCTTTACCTTGGGAAATGGGCACCTGATGGGCTACCCAGGTCCAATGGAGGGCTCTGAGAGAAACCCAGGAACAGAGAGCTTAGAAGGTCACTCACTTTGCCATTGCGATTGTGCACTCGGAAGGCCATGTTAGGAGACATCAAGAGAAGCAGGGATTCCTGTTCAGACAGCTTCTTCTTCAACCTCTCCAAGTTCTTGCTTCCCTTGTTAGCTTTCTGAGGAGGAGAGAAGCCCAGGCAGAAATTATGTTCTCCTCTCCTCTGTTCACAACTCGAGAGTTGCGGGGAACTCAGCATTCCATCTGAACAGGGTCTGGTTCCACAAAACCCATTAGACCTCATTAGGCTGAGTTCTCCTTCATCTGGAAACAGCAGCAATCAGGTCTCTGATATCCTAGTGCGAGGAGGAGGAGGAGGAGGAGGAGGAGGAGGAGGAGGAGGAGGGAGAACCTCTTCCTTTTTCTGCCTCTATGGTCAGACTCTGTCACACTCCTGGGCACTAAAAGGTTGAGGTTTCCCACAGCACCAAATGTGCTCAGCATTCCTAGTTGAACCATAGCTGAACATATCCTGAGCCACATGGCCTTGGTGTGCAGGGCTCCAATTAGGCTAACTCTCCTCAGAATGAAGCAGCTATGCAGCTGCCTGGTTTGCTTTAAGAGTGGTTAGCTAACCAACTCGCTCTGGGCGTTCGTAATGAAGAAGCCACAGTCCCTGAGCAAATTAGTATTTCTTGATTTGGGTTTGTCAGTCTGTCCACTGATAAAGAGTTGATAGTTTACCACTCCAAATCCCTCCTTTTACCTTTTCACGTTGGATGTCACTCTTGAGTTGGGAGATCTTGATTTTCATGGCATCCAGCTCCTCGTCTGGCACAAGGGAGATGTTTGGCATCGTCTCTGAGTCATCCACCATCTGGAAGCTGAGATCTGAGAGGGGGATGTACCACTTACAGTCATACTGCTGGCTTTTTCTGCAAAGGGGAGAAGGACGAAGGTGAGCGAGCCACCCCTGACTTCATCGGTGCCCAGAACCAGGTGAGAGAAGGAGAAGCCAACCGCAGGCGGGTGCTGTGGGGAGCTGCTTTCAGGGAGATTTCTCTCTTGCACGCGTTTCGAACTGCTCCCCTTTCTCCTTCACTACCTTGATATTCCCTGAGCCTGGCTTTGGGGAACCCATCACTTAACCTCAACTCCTCCCAGCTGGAAAATAGATAAAAATGTGTTAGATTTGGCTACAAAGAAGATTTGGCTGCACGGACGGTTGCGGGGATTTTTTTGGATACCTCATAAAAGCATCACTTTCCAACGATGCAACCTTTCTTTGCAATTTCTGCCTCAAAAACATCCCATAAACTTTAAGGCTGCATGCCCAGAAGTGTAGAATTTCTGGGGGTTGCCAAGGACATAAGACTCTAAAGTGGAGTCCCCCCCTCCCCACTGAGAAAGAGAGGCCCTCGGCATAGTTCAGAGGTGCTATTTTTGCCTCTGGGCATCCATCCCCAAGGAGGTTCTGCTGCCCCACCCAGCCACGGCTCCTCTTTCCCCCCCATAGCTGCTCCCAGTGGGGCTCACCCTCCGATCTGCTTTTTAAGCTTGGCACAGAGGAACAGGTCCGTGAAGAGAAAGACGTGACGCAGCTTCCGAGATCCCTCCACCAGCTCCACCATGAAGCTGTCCTTCACAAGTTGCCGGTGCTGTCAAGAAGAGGAGTCAGGCCAGTTAGCGAGAAAGGAAGGGGCGGACAGGCCACAGGCCTTTTTATCAGAAGGGGCACCCCGTGGTAGCCTCTGCCAGTCTAGGGAAGGAAAAGTGGTCAGCAGAAAGCCACAATCAGACTATTGAGGAACTCAGCAAGGATGACAAGGCAATTCTTTAATTTTGGACTCTTTAATCAGAGCAGATATTAAAGCAGGGTGTCTAAAAGGCAGGGAAGGGCAGCCAGGAGATGACCCAGTAGGCAAAGAGGGATTGTCCTTACTCCTGTCCACAGGAGGAAGAAACCGTTGCCCTGGAGAGGCCTGGGTAACAGCAACCATTGGACTACCCAACTTGCCCCCAGAGCAGCCCAGAGGGACTCAGAAGTAGTTCGTGACAGACAAGGGTCGTAGCCTGCTTGTCTAAAATGGAAAAACCCGATATCTTTCTCTGAAGTGAGGGACAAAACAGCCCTACTAAGAATGATGTAACCTGGTTGTGTAATGATGGGATCGAGTTTGAAGTACCTCAAGTACTGATGGGAGCTCAAACCAAACTTGACTATTTTTTGTCCACCGGCCACTGTCCACCAGTGGGCAGCTCTCCATGCTCAGTGCTGCTGCATAACATCCAATCCGTAAAAAACAAAATCAGGAGGGTCTTGGTTTTGTAGGTTCTGTTGAAGTCAACTGGCCGAAATTCAACACAAAGAAATATTTCCCAAGTCGGTGATACTTAAAAACAATGATAGAGCTCAAGGGTCTCAGCGCCCTTGGAACTGCCCAGGTTATGCCTCAGGTTCTGGACAAAACTATGGAAATACAGATATTCTATTCCAAGCAGAGAATACCTGAAACGGTGGTTTTGAACTTGCAATACTTTGTACATCACAGAGAGCCAGGAAGATTACGGCCAACACCACACCCTCTCTCTCTTGGTCAGCCTTCGGAACTTGAGAAAGTTTCACCGGCTAAGTAGCCATCACTGAGCCCCCAGAGGGTCTTTGCTAGAGTGTTCTCCCTCCCCTCCCCAAACCCAGCAGCATGAAATCTTCTGTCCCGTTGCCCTTCCTCTCCTGCCTCTTTCTGCAGTCACTGACTTCCTTCCAAGTCCTGGCAAAGTCGAAGAGATCTTACACACCTGGGGCTGCCATCAGACTTTGTCAGGAGGGAATACCGGGACAGCGGTGGAGAACTTCAGCCTCTGCCACTCACCAGACGCAGAGAAGGAACGGAAAGGAGGAGCTGCCAGGCCGGGTTTGTTCCACGATTGGGGCAAGGGAGGAAAGACCCCCCAGATTCCACCTTGGCATTCTTTGATTGCCCAAAGAGCAAACCAAATTCACCTTTAGGCAGGGTGTGCCCGAATCCTTCCTTGTGGCAGAAAGTCTAAAGCAAGTATTTATTGCACACCCAGGACTTTTATTACTTTACTTTATTACTCTGGGGTCCCTCAGCAAGAGGACTCCTCTGCTGAACAAATCCCAGGAGATTCAATATTAAAATTGAAACGTTTAAAGAAAAGTCCTTTTTACCCAAATTACTCCCTGCACGCTATGGCCAAATTAAGCCATGTTCAATATGGCTTCACTTTTTCAGTTGCTAGAAGCAACCCAAACAAATTCAGAGAAGCCAGAAAGCCAGCACCAGGACCTAACCTCTCCAAGCAGATGACAGCTCTGGGAATATAACCAGACAACTCATTATTCTGGGACATCTGCACTCCAATCACTAGGTGAAAATCTCAAGGCAAAGATAAACCTAGTAAGAAGCATTAAACCATATAAAGTCAAAAATCAGGCATGACTGGTCCTGGCTGGCATTTAAATGGGGGACCCTTTGAAATGTCCAGAGCCATAGGCTAAATTAGGACATTGAGAAACATCCTGGAAGAAAGCAGTGGCAAACCCCACTTCCACACCATCCCAAGAAAACTGCAAGGACGCATCCATGGATGTTATAGGGAGTCAAGCTTCATCTTTTATTTCCATAATATTCGAAGTAGAACCCATCCAAGGTCCTGTGTTTCCAGGAGGAGGAGAATGGGTAACTTCTGATTATCTCTTCCCTTCCGCAAGAGACTTTTGTGCCGGAACCAATGCCGGTAGCCTTTCTAACCAAGAGAGACCTATCTATCTGTTCCCTTCAGGTGGTAGAGAGTGCCTGAAATTCCCTCTGGGCATCTGAGAAGGAAAGGAAGGCAAATAAAGTGAAAACCTAAGATGGCAACTCAAAGAGTTATTAGCAACTTCTCCTTTTCCACTGTGGCCGCTCAGCCCAAGAGTCAGAAGCAACATCACCTGTTGGAGGAGCAAGATTCAGAACCGGCCTGGTCTTCTGAGACTAAAAAAGGTACGAACTTCTAATGAAACTGGAAGACTTGCATCAGCTGCCATCCTGCTTTGCTCTGGAGGTTGGGATGATTCAAAGGAGGGATCATTAAGCCAGTCCAACCTCTCTTCAGAGTCAGAACCCCAGACTGACGGCTGGCCACTCTTCATTCAAAATGAGCCTCTCTCCCCCTTCTCTAGATAGCTGACTGCAATATCAAACTCTTTGCACTATGAGGGATTTTTTTAAACAACAACAACAACAAAACAGCAGATGGAATCTGCTTCCCTGTGGCACAAACCCATCATTGCCGCACTGTGAGGAATCACGTTCTCTGAGCTGAAGAGAGCAGGGCAGGGTCTCCTCTTCCCAAATCTCCTTTTGGGGCTCTCAGTGGGCACCTCCCGTCACGCTGGCCAAGAGGAAGTGCTGGTTTGGACAAGCCATCTGGCAAGCCATGAAGTGGAAGGAACTGCGCACCCCACTTCCCTCTAAGTAGCAAGGGCCAAGAGAAGGGCAACCGAGGAGTAAACACAGCTGGTGAAGGCACACTGGGTGTCAAGAGACACACAACTGGGTCTAAGCTAGTAGCAAGTGAAAGAAAGAGTGACTTTCTTGAAGTCAGCTGCCCCAGGCGAATCTGGGGTATTTGGTAGAAAGGAGATACCTGGGCTTGGAATAACCTTAGATTTATGAAAAACAAAGTTTGTTCAAGTTCTATGGCCACCCATCTCAAAGGAGTGACTATCATAAAATCAATCACAAACACAATAGAAAAATAAAGAAATAGAGCAGCTGAGTAAAATTATAATCCACAGGTGTTAATATAACTAGGAAACAGGGTCCTTAACCCACTTAGGGCCGTAGGCTCCAGCACAAAAGCCAGGTCCTCAAAGCCTTGTGGAAGGTCAGTGGGGTTGGGGCGATCCTAATCTCTGGAGGGACAGTGCTCCAGGGGGCAGATAAGGCAGACCTCCTGGGCCCCACAGCAGACGCTCGGCTGACGGAACTTTGAGCATCTGCCAGATGGGTTGAAATCGATTGGACCAGATTCGACACTGGTTGGTGGCTTATACAGCGATTATTAAGTTTCCTCTTTCAGCAAGTCGAAATTATTGCCAGCAAGAAGCTTTTAGGGTTAGAAGCAGGAGACAGAAGTGCTCTTGGAGCCGTGTGAAAAAGGAGACCCTCCAGGCAAGCTTTGGGGAAGTATCCCTGGTTAAATATTTGTTAATCTGCAAATTCCTCTTCAGAAAGCACCCTTGAGGTTGCCATCCCGTGTCCAGCACGCTCAAGACATCTGAGGCCACCAACACAGAAGAGCCCCCAAGCGCAATCCAGGCACGACAGTCCGAGCATTCATTGGTAACTGCACCCCAACCAAGTGCCTGGCAAGCAGAGCTTCTCCTGTCCCCTCCCCGGAGAGCTCCAGGGCAAATGAGGACAGCCGGCAGAGTTGACTTTTTCAGCTAAATGGAGTTCAGGATGCCAAACTTCCAATTTTCCTGCCTGCAGCAAATGGGCATAGAAAGAGCTTTAAAAAGTACCAGCTTTATTGGTTCATGCTTGTCCAAATGAAGCAAAGCTGAAACTGGTTGCCTCTGGTTGCAAGTGAGGGGAAGAGAAATTCCGTCTGTGCTGCATCTGCTCTGCTCGCCAGCCCCCCTCCCCCCAAGCACCCTCACCTCTCAAACAGTTTCAGGGCCACAGCGGTGCTTGGAAAGACCAGAGAGATGCTCAGTAGAATAGCAAGAAGCCCCGTTCTTCTAGGGCATGAAGACCAGTTCTTGCTCTTGAGGTGAAAAGGCTTCAAATGCGTTAGCAGCAGTTGATCAGAAGACCTCCAAGACCTCCCCACTCCAGAGCTGCCAAGAAATTATCCTTTGGGGACAACGATTTGGCACCAACGAGAGCCTGGAGCAGCAGCACAAGGCCATCCGTCGCCATCTCAAGAGAGATACCGGCACCTGCAGGCAGGAACTCTCTGAACCACGGTTTCTCCACCACGGCAGCCTGAAGAGGTGTGGATTTCCATTCCCACAATTCTCCAGCCAACTCTAGGAGTTAAAGTCCACAACTCTTCAAGTTGCCAAGATGGAGAAGCCCTGCTCTGAACAGAGCTGAAGTCTGGAGGGAGGAGGAACTGAGAAGGAGGGAAAGGAAGGAAGGAGATGGAAATGAGAAGGAGGGAAAGGAGGAAGACTCCCAGACTGCTTATCCCGTGCTGACACAACGGTTCTTTTAAAGCATGTCCGAGTGAAGCAGACTTCTGGCTTTAGAAACAGAATCCTTGGCCAGGTTGTGCCCCAAAACACCTTTATGGATCTCAGCTCAAGAACCATATTATAGTAGAAAAACAGCAGATAAATGTTGGACATGCTGGGACCTACTGGAAAATTATCAAGGGGAATTTAAAAATCAAACAAGAGAACAATTAATAGCAGAAGAATAGATATACCATGGTCCCCGTTTACAGTTATCTGAAAGGTTTAAAATGGATGAAAAGATTTATGGCATGGAACAAAGTAAGTCAAAATTTGAAGTGCAATTGTGTACGAACATCTATTTGCAGAGGAAAACAGGTTAAAGAATGTATGATAAGTGTATGATAAGAATTTTGATAGTAATGTACAGATGGATCAATGGGAAATTATATGGTTAAAAGAGTTGAAATTCACATTGTGTTATGATCCCAAAGAGATTTTTTAATAAAATGATGTATGTTGGTACATGAGGACAGAGAAATTATCTAGAATGTATAACGGCACTTCAAATGTTATGTGGGAAATATGTAGGATGTGAAGGAACATTTTATAATGCCTCGTAGACTTGCAAAAAGTTTAAAAATGGATCAAAATACCAATTCTGAAAAAGGATTTTAACGTTCAATATTAAATTGAACCTGGAATTTGTAGGATTAATGGACAGTTAGAAAAAAGCCATGGAAGATTATTTCAATGTAGATTACTGTGTGCACAGAGGTGGGAAGATTTAACAACAAGCACAATGGAGGAGGGCCAGTAAAGAGTCACCTTGTAGGGGAGATGGACAGCATGAAAATCTAATAAATATAAAATAAATAAAATTGCGATTTTGCTGAAAAGGATAAATTAACTTATTTGTATCAGAAAAAAAGTCATTATCTACATTCATTGCTGACTGGAAGCCTCTCATGGACTTTTCCCAAAGAGACAAAAAAAGGAAGTTGGGAACTGTGGTTTTGGCAATTAGACAGGACAGAACAGCCATTGTGCCACTTTTAGGATAAAGCAATATTCGAGTACCACCAGCCTAGCAAGGTGTCAAAAACTTGATGACTGCCCCCCCAAAAGGAAAAAAGTGATAAAGTACAGGTAGTCCTCAACTTGCAACAGTTCGCTTAGTGACTGTTCAGTTACAACAGCACTGAAAAAAGTGACTTATGACCATTTTTCACCCTTATGACCGTTTCAGCGTCCCCAGGGTCATGTGATTTACATTCGGATGCTTGGCAACGGATTCATATTTATGACAGTCACAGTGTCCCAGGGTCCTGTGATCCCCTTTTGCAACCTTCTGACAAGCAAAGTCAATGGTGAAACCAGATTCACTTAACAACCTTTTATATCAGGGGTGTCAAACACAATTTCATTGAGGGCTGCATTAGCATTGTGGTTACACGGGTGGGGTGTCCTTCCTTCCTTTTCCCCCTCCCTCCCTGCCTTCCTCCTTCTCATTCCCATCTCCTTCCTTCCTCCTTTCCCTCCTTCTCATTCCCATCTCCTTCCTTCCTTCCTTCCTTCCTTCCTTCCTCCTTTCCCTCCTTCTCATTCCCATCTCCTTCCTTCCTTCCTTCCTTCCTTCCTTCCTTCCTTCCTTCCTTCCTTCCTTCCTTCCTTCCTTCCTTCGTCCTTTCCCTCCTTCTCATGGAGGTGGCCCACTGCAGGCCACGCAGAGAGCCCAAAGCCTGGTTCGGCTATCAACCTTTCCTCAAGCCCCGAGACCCGGCAGGCGAGTCGAGAAGCAGGTGGGGGGGGTCACTGGCTGCCCTTTGGGAGGATCCCCCCTGTTCCTCTTTCTCTCCTCACTGTATCCTTCCCCCTGCAAAGGGGAAACGGGCCACTGAGCCAAGTGCGGATCTCTGCATTTCAGTGGGTGCAGCGTTTGAGTCAGGTTGGCTCACATCCCCCCCACAGGATGCCCCCTCCTCAAGGACTGCCTGGTGCTGCTGGACTGAGGGCCCCTCTGTCCTTCAGGGGTTTACCCCGCGGCCAATCATTGGCAAGAAAGGATGAGGCGGTCAGAAGGCGGTCTGGAAGGGCGAGGTGTCTGCTCCTCCCCAACCAGAGCTCTTGCAAACAGTCGCCCCTTAGGGGAAGGGCTGCTAGCCAGGCAAAAGGCAGCCCCCCCCCATTGGGAAGCGGGCACCAGGCGCCAGCTGGGCACTCACCTCCCCCTTCTGGACAGTCATGGATTGCCTCCTGGGCGTGATCTCCTCGTTGATGCTGGACAGGAAGTTCTGGGAGATGCGCAGGGCGTCCTGCAGGAGCAGGTAGTCGGGGTGGCTTGGCGGGGTGTGCTTCAGCAAGTCCTGCTTGTCCAGAGGGAGGGGAGAAGAAAGGCCTTCAGGGCAGAGCACTGGCCGTCCGTGGCTTCACCTCTGAAGGATTTCCTGTCTAACTTAAAGCTTAGACCGAACCATCAGATCCAAGCTCCTCCTCCTCCTCCTTCATGCAGGAACCAGGCCTCCCAGACAGATGGCTGCCCAGGTTCTGCTTGAACCCCCCCCCCATGGCCTCCCTCTCAGGGGTCACTGATTCCGCAGCCTCCGTCCCTTCGGAGGCGTTTCTCCTATGCTGCTGAAGTTTGCTCTCCCTAACAGTTGCATCTGTGCCTCCAGGAGCCCAGAGCTAGAATTATGTTGATGTCTTGCTTCATCTCAGCTCAGAGATGAGAAAAAAAACCTCCACAAGTGATAAAGCCCCGGGATTCTCCATGAGTGGGTTTCTGGCAAAGCTGCGGGTGGCTCGGCATGAAGCAGTAGCTGCACGGGCATCTTATGCTCCAGGTACTCTAAGGAAGCCCCTTTTCCTGTTAGCAGCATTGCTTTTACAAGTCCTCCAGTGATCACCCAACTTCTTCTCCTGGGGCATCTTGCCTGCCCCCCACTCTCCTACCCCAACCAGACTAAACAGGAATCATTTGAATGTGATCCAGTGTACTGTGGGAACCCAACCTCTATTTGACTCTGCTGCATGAAGTAGCCATCCAGTTCAGCCATAAGATGCTGCATGGAGCATGTCAGGTGAAGGGAACACCTGTGCTTTGCTAACCTGCATTTTGCAGCCGGTGGAAAAGACACCATGCCTGGCAACTCTTTCCATTCTTTGTGCTATTTCTTGCTTGTGCACTGACTTCTCTGAAACAAAGCAGCCCCTCCAATTTCCAGCAGAAGAGCCAACAACATTAATATTCATGGCAACTTACGTGGAGCACAAGTGTACTGCGTGTGACCCGATCCACCGGCTTGTAGAGGAGAGCTACGGGGAAATAAAGGAAAATTAGAAGCTGTAGGGCAACACAATTCTCTGGGGAGCAAAATAATCCAACAGGTTTCTGGGAAAACCCCTTCTTTGACAATATGTCCGCTGCAATCCTTTGCAATTCATCTCTGCTACTCCCTCCACACTAGCCAAGCCCTTCCCATCTCACGCACAATGGGTTGCTATAGGATGCCGAGTCCCCTTTTGCTGTTAAACCGAGGGGCTTCCCTCCCAAAACTAGCACTTTGGCTGTTCAGAAAAGAAAAGCTAACCAAGGCAGTCAGCCCTGCTTATACACGTCCCTGCAGAACAAAAAACCCAGAGAAACCCTTGGACCCATACCGAGCTCCTTCGCGGGGGGGGGGGGTGGTTATTGTCCAGAAAACCCAAATCTCAAATCCACCGGGGCACCACACCACTTACTTTCCAAGGAGTTTTTTGTTGTCTGGTCTCTGGCATCCTTGGAGCCTCTGGCTCTGAGGTTCTACAAAAGATGAGCAAGACTCGGGTTATGTTTTTTCGGCCTGCATCGTGGACTTGCCAGCTGTTCCTCGTCTGGTGACAGATGCTGCCTGGTTTGCACACCAAACCCAGATGAGGCCCACGATCTTCCAGCACAGGAAGCAGCAGCTCAGAGGTTACCCCTCTCGTCACACTGGTTGCCACCACCTCTACACAGGTTCTCCCCTCCCTTTGAGAAAAAGGCATTCCCTGGGGGTTTGATGAGCCACTCAGAAGAACCAGATGGAATTCCAAAAACCCAGGGTGAGCTGGGTGCCTCCAGCCTCAGAACCAGTCACTGAAGGCCCATGAGAGAGGGGGCAGTGCTGGACCTCAATCTGCCCCCAAGTGCCCTTCAAGCCCAACTGAGATATCCCTGGAGGGAGATGGTCCTCTGCTACTACCTCACCTTGTGGGTAATGTGGGGGAGGGATTTTGCTCGGAGGGGGAGTATTTCTCCGATAAAAGCCACACTGGAAGAGTTCTTGAAATCACGTGTAAGAATATTTGCTAAGGAAGAAAGTGACTCCACCGGGTGGATATGGCAAAACTTGAGTTGGGGTGAGTCAAAATCCAGGCCAGGTTTCTCAGGTTCCAAGAACAGCCCCCAAATGAGTTGGCTTTTGTGGAGGGTCCCTGGGGTGCTGAATGCCAGAAGCCCCCCTGCACCAGGGCTTCTGGCCATCCTCCCGGCTGAGAGACCCGCAGAACCTGCAAGACCAGCCCCTTTACGGGTTTAACCCAGGTGAGGTGGGGGCAGAAGAGTCCCATCAGATCCCTATGAGGACACCACCACCCCCCACTGCCGGCAGCCGGCAGCCATCATGCAGCAGGGCCTCGCTCACCTCCGAGATTTCTGCAAACTGCGCGTTGGCTTGGCAACACTTCTCGGCCGTCTCCATGGCAACCTCGTAGTTATCCACGAAGGCCCGGTACACGCCCAGCTGGCTGGCCTGGGGGGGGGGGGCAAATGCGGAATGAGACCCAGCCTGGTGTGGAAAGGCAGCGGGGGGCAGAGATGGCCGCCAGCAGCCACCCCCGTCTCGGGAGGCTGGCTGGAGATCTGGGCAAGCAGAGGACCGTCTGGATGAGCCTCTGCCCGCCCCGGAAAGGTGCCCGCCAAGCCGAGAGCTGAGGCAGGAGAGGGAGAGAGGCCCAGACCGGCACCCTCGCCTTTGGCCCCCAGGGGGAAGACACCCCTCTTTCTTTGCTCCCCCTGCGCTCTCTGGGGAAGCGGCAGGTGCACCAACACCTGGCCACGCAGCTGCCTCCTGCTCTTCCTCCAGGAAAGAGCGACAGCCCTGCAAGGCCGGCTGAGGAATGCTTTACACCCGAGGAGGGGGGGTGGCCCACGTGACACCACTGGGCAGCATCCCTACAAGCGGATGGCCTCGGAATAGGAGATTTATGGCCCATAAGGCACTTCTGACACCGTAAAATGTGCCCCCCCTTCACAATCACGTGACCGAATTTTGGGCCCCTGGCGACTGGCCGGCATTCATGACCAGCTGTAGTGTCTCACAGTCACCCCAGTGATTTGCACCCCTTTCTGCCAGTTTCCGCAAAAAATAACCATTTGGAAGAAGGGGTTCATTTAATGACTGCACCGTTCACTTAATCACTCTGCGCTTCACTTAGTGACCACTGTGAACAATATCAGAAAAATAGGTCCAGTCAGGTGGGTGCCTCAATTTACAACCAAGACTTACAATTGTGGTCTTAAGTCAAGGACTATCAGTTCTGCCACCCTAGCAGTTCAAAAGCAAATCAAACGGAAGGAGGTACACGGGAGCGGGGGTGCCACTCTGGCGGGAAGGTAACCGCGCTCCGTGAAGCCATGCTGGCCACGTGACTGGCGGAAACATCCCTGGGCAGCGCCTTGAAATGGAGGGGAGCAGCGCCCTCTAGAGCTGGCAATGAATAGCGGAGTAAAATGCACGGGGACTCCTTTACATCATCATCATCATCATCACCACCACCAGTACAGGCTCCCTCCAGCCAAAGGGGGGCAACCTACAGCCCAGCCAGCCAGCCAGCCTTCCTTCCTCCCCCCCCACTGGTTTCTAGCACTGCCCCCCCCTCCTCACACTGCGCATACCCAGCAACATGCTGGTAAAGGAGAACTGGAGCCTCAAGCTGGCTCTGAGCCGGGCAAAAGCCCCCCCGCCCCCCCAGGGCCCAACGTCCTGCTCACCAGTTTCTGGAAGAGGTCGCCCACCCGCTGCTGGTGGCTCCACTGGTGGACCCGAGGGAAAAGCCCGTCGTAGAAGTCCTTGTGGATCTCGTAGAGCTCGGGCACTTTGAAGAAGATGGTCTCGATCTGCTGGCTGGTCAGCACCGGCTGGGAGGTGGTGGCAGCCGCCTTCAAAGGCTTCATGGGCTGAAGGATGAGAGACACAGAGCCGGCTGCCTTCTGTGGCCCAGTGGGCACCTTCCTGGGCATCCCCCCTTGAGGAAACCCGGAGTCTTTGGGGACAGCCCACTCGGCCCTTCCCACAGCAACGCGGGCAGCCGGAGGCCACCCCAGACCACGGCACCATCGCCAGCCAGGGCTTCGGCCGTGAGGAAATGGGCAGAAGTGGGAAAGAACCCAGCCACTCCCTTGCTCGGCTCCCCCACTGCTGAATGGAGCCCAGGCAGGGGGATTTCTCCGTGGCTGCCCCAGGTTGTTCCCCTCGGGGAGGGAGACCCTTGGATGTCCCTGCCCAGGTCCATCTTCAGCTTTGCTGGAGAATAAACTCTCCCTCCCCCCCTCCACCCATTCCCTGGTGCCCTTACCAGCAGGAGAGCCTCCAGGTGACCCAAGTAGGTTTCCTCACTAGCCAGGATGCCGGACAGGACCCACTTCCTCATCTCCAGACCCTTTTCCAGGTCTGGCTCGCTCTGGAGAAAGGAAGAGAGGGGAGACAATGGGAGGCCAGGCCTTCGCGCACAAGCTGGAGATTTGGGGAGGGGGCTGGAAATGTCCGGGGCCAAAGAGAATGAAGCCAGGAGGGCGGCTGCTCTCCCCAGGAGAAAGAAACGAAGCACAGACAGGGACACTGAGGCACACGCTCACTCTGCAACATGCTTCGCACAACCAGCATCCCTGCTGAGCTCCCAGGGCAGCAGAGTGGCAGGGTGGGCTCTGGGCTTGCAGGAGCCCATAAAATCCAAACGGACCTGTGAGAGACGGGCCAGTTCCAGGACCCTTCCCCACTCTCCTGGGAACCTTCCCCACAGAGCCCCTCCCTGCTGACTCTCTGGAGCCATGCCCACCACCCGCCGTAATGGCTGCCATGCCAAGATGGGGGCGGGGCTCAGGAGAGACCAGGGAAGGCCATCCCCTCCCTCCCTCCCACCTGCCTGATTTTTTGGCCCTCCTTGAACGCAGCCCAATGAAGACGCCCCTCCCCAGCAGAGGAGGTTTGGTTCTCCCTGGCTCAGTGGAGACCAGGGGAGCAAGGAGGGCTCCCTCCCCAGGGCCCCCGGGCTCTTGAGTGCCATTCGTCCTGGACCTGCAGGCATGCTGCCAGCAGAAGTGCCCAGCCAGCCCCAAGGGGGGGCACTTTCCTTTCTCAGAAGGCGCTGCCAAGGAGCTTGGGGGGGGGCGAAGGAGGAGAGGAGCAGAGCCAGCTTATTTATAACCCGCCAATGGCATCCTTGCCAGCTCAGCTCAGGAAGGGCCTGCCTATTCCAGAAAAGCCATTGAACAGCAGGGAATGAGAATTGGGAGGGGGGGGAGGTTAGTCAGATAGGTAGGAAGGCAGCCAGCTGCGGGGGGGGGGGGGNCACACACACACACACACACACACACACACACCTTCTCTGCAAAGCAAAATCTCCCCATCCCTTCCCCCCCCCCCCAGGACGCACGGCCTGGCAGAGCAAAAGGAGCGAGGAGCCAAGGAAACACAAAGGGGCAGGCCCCAGAGTGCCCCTTCTCTCAGGGAATGTGGCATGCTACAGCTCGGAAAGGCCTGCCTCGGGTGCCACCAGCCTGGGGGGGGGGTCTCCTTCCTCGGCTTTTCCTCAACCCTGCACAGAAAGCAGGGAGGACCCTGCCCGTCCTTGGCTCAGGGCAAGCCCAGAGGCCCTGCGCCAGGTTGGCAAAAGCACAAGGGAGCCCTGGGGCCCAGCCAGCTCTTCATCTCAATAGTTAATATCTTTATTCTGAGGCCCCACCGACACTAAGAGGCAAGGCCCGGGCAGCACAACGAGGGGGGAGGGGATCCACATCCACAAAATGGGGGCTCCTATGGGGCACAGTCCACGAGCAAAGGGTGTCCTGAATTCTGCCAGGCCCCACCATCCTTCCTCTGGGGGCACCAACGCTCTTCGGGCATGAGGAGGACTGTGGCTGCCCCCTGGCAGGGAAGACCTCTGGGAAGACACAAATCCTCCCCTCAGACGCCTCTGGCAGGGAGGGGAGCGGAGAGAGCGCCTGACTTCGGCGGGAAGGAAAGGAGGAAGCGGGATAAGTCTGAAAGCCGACTGCAGAGGCTGCAGGTGCCTTAGGGCGGCCCTCAAAGAGACCCAGAGACTCTGTGTGTGTGTGTGTGTGTGTGTGTGTGTGTGTGTGTGTGTTCCTGCCTGGAAGGAAGAGCTTTGAACCCAAGCCCTGCGCAAAGACTCAAAGACACCAACACACACACACATACACACACCACAAGAGAAAGAACTGGGCAAAGCAAAAGAAAGAGAAAACCTATAGAAAAGTTGGGGAGACGCAAGAAATGAATCCAGCTTCACTCAGCAAGGGGAATTCTATCTCCTGCCAAATGGAACCAGGAGCTCTTTCTTTTCCTCCCATGTCTGCTCTACAAAAATATAGTCTGGGCCAGTTTTTATTTTATGTGAAGCCAACCGGACAGTCTGAGTGGTCAAAAAATCCTGACTAAACCAACACCGCAGTAGATTCCCAAGTACCTGTGTTGCTTCTACACTTTGGGGTGAAGCTGCCCCCCCCTTTCTTCAGAGTAGATGTCCTGCACAATGATGTCCATACTTACAGGCTGGAGGTGCTGCGCCTGGTCATCAGGGCGTCCAGTCTGAATGCAGTTCTGGGTCCTGCTATCAACCCAGGCATGGCAAAGGCCTCCTTTGATGCCAAGGGGCAGATGCTACGGAACCCACAGAGCTGCAACTGCACCCCCAAAGCCAACATTCCAGCTCCCCGCTTTGTCCCAGGGCGACGCAGCAGCAACTCACTGATTTTGTAGACTCCAGGGACCCCGATGAGAAGCCATCTCGACTGCCTCGGCTCTTGGAGCTGAGATGGGGTGAAGAGGAGGGGGAGTCATCGATGAAGGGCATCAGGTCATGGTGGTGCCTCTGCTCTTCAGCTCTGTCCACATCGTAGGCATAGCCTGGGGGGAGGCCACCAAAGGAAAGCTCTGCAAAAGGAAGGGAAGGGAGAATGGGAAGGAAGAACTGGCCTGGGGGCCAACAGCATCCTTGCCCTCTTCCGCCTGATCTAGGCCTTCAAGAGCTGCTCTGTGGATTCCTGATCATTCCCACTCCAATTTTTCTGAAGAGGGGTCTCCAGGAGATCTTGCTAATCTGGCACCCTCGGACAAAAGCCTTGATCTTTTCAACGAAAGCATAATTGAGACCAATTCAATTTCAGAGCAGGCAGAAAAAGTCTTGTGACCAGGAGATGACTGGAATGCAAAGCTATACATTATGGTCTAAAGTCCACTAGAATAACACATACTGGACTCCTCCCAGCACAAACCTGTGGAGAAAAGAGAAATCTGCATTTTGTGGGTCAATCTGCAAATGCAGTTGTGATGTGTGACTTGTGACTCCTTTCCAAACAGAGAACTGAAAACCCTGAAGAAGCCCACCAGGCCAGCTCATTCTGCTTCACAGGGACCACGCAGCTCTTCTTCTCCTGCCTGGAGTATCCACCAAACTGCTATTCATATCAGGTGGACATTCATGATGGAAAAACAGGTTTGGGGATCAGAACACAGGGACCACCACAGATCCGAAAAGGAGACAAAAGCCCAAGGAGAATGTCCATAATGACAAGTGAGGCCATCACCACACAACGCAAACTTGGGATTTATTGCTGAACGGCCTTCAGCAAATCCGCTGCTCCAGGGTGAGATGAAGGCTGGCTTGTCTGTTCCAGGAGAGGCTTCCGTGCCTCTCCTCTCCCACAACATAACCCATCTGAACTAGACAAGGTGGAAGAAAAACGGGCTGGGCATGCAGTGACCGTGGGCAGGGCTTCCAGGTACCAACGCTGCCCCCGGGATCAGTACTAATAGCATCAGTGTAGGAGAATAAGTGTCTATCAGAGCAACCTGGTCTACCCAAATGGGATGGAGCACACTGCTTCCTTTCGCCTTTCAGCCCCAATCTAGGAGCCTTCACAGGCAGTCACTTCTGCCACCAACTATTTCTGTGTTAAGTTTTGTGTTAGGAATTACTCCCCCAGCAGCTCTCGGAGAGAGGCCAGGTCAGGGAACAGGTCCACCCGCCTGCCTGGAGCTGCATCGCCTCAGCCGGGCTGCAGGAGCAGAATGGTGACAGCTGGAGTGCCGTTTCCCTTCCCCCCTCCTCCCCTCTGGTATTTTGGTGAATTGGGGGAAGAAAACAAGAATCCATCTGAGTTTCTTTCTCTGTTTCCCTACACTACCTCCGTTAACCGATTCCCTCCAAAGGTTTTAAAACCAGCAAATACAAAACAGAAGTAATACTAAAACTCTTTTTGTTTGTCTGTAACCTTCAAAGGACCAAATCGGTGCATCATCGGGCAACAATTTTGAATCAAAGTACCTCAAATGGTCTAACTTAAGAATGCATCCAAAATCTGGGACCCGGGACTCCCATGGGATTAAAATTTCAAGGTTCTTCAGACCAAGTCTATTGGCAAATTGGCGGCCATCGTGCCACCACGAGGAAAGTCCACGGAGAAGCCAGCAGGAAGTTAGAACATGTTGGAAGGGACCTTGGAGGTCTTCTAGTCCAACCCTCTGTTGAAGCAGGAGACCCTGTATCATTTCAGGAGCAGAACATGACTATCCTCAAGATACACCAGTGATGGCGAACCTTTTAGAGACCGAGTGCCCAAAAACTGGCCCTGCCTCTGCTCTACCCCTTGCCCGCCCCCGCTCCACCCCCTGCCCCGCCCCACCCTGCCTGCCTGCAGGGCCACTCACCGCCTCCAGGGCCCGCCACAGATCACCCAGGCAGCCCAGCAGCGCCATGGCAGCCACACCCTCTGCCCACGCCCCGCAGCATCAACTGTGTGCGTTGGGGCGTGAGGGCAGACTCTTGTCTACGCTGCCAGGCTGCCATGTCCTTGGCTGCGCTGCTCCGCGTGGGCCACGCTTAGGGGCGACTCTCCTCCAGGGAGGCTGCTGGTGAGGAGGGGGGCGCGGGCGGAGGCAAGGCTGGGGCAATGGCACGTGTGCCCACAGAGAGGGCTCCGAGTGCCGCCTCTGGCACCCGTGCCATAGGTTCGCCACCACTGAGATACACCATTCCAGCATGACCAGAACTAGAACATCAACCAAAACTTTCCTCGCCTGTCTTCTAGATTCTAGAATGAGGAGAACCTCTGGAAATACAGCTAAGGCCACGATGCTCATGGCTCCTAAGAAATTTCACGAATGGCTCTCCACTGAACAGCACCAAATCCTGCTGCTCCCCCCCAGAGTTGAATCTGTCTCTTCCCTGCAGACCAGGGTCTCTGCCCGCCCCCCCCCCTTTGGGATTCATGACACTTGCAATCCTTGGTGGTTCTGGTTGTGGCTGACAGGGGCTGAACCCGAAACATCTGGAGCGCCCAGCTACCAACTCTGCTGCTGATGTTGAACACAGATAAACCCAAGATCCATGCTCTCATTTCATTAACATCAAACTTCAGTGAACGTGGTTCTTGTCAAACTAAAGCGATGGTTCATGAATTGTTTCACCAAATTACCGTTTTCTATCTCAAACAAGGTCCCTGTTCCCACAAAAAAGCGGACTCCCTTGTTTCACAGACGCATCTTCTGGGTGGCAGCCCAGCCTGGACCACGGACTCAGAAGCAGCGATTATAAAATGTTCCAACAGCCCCAGGATGTACCCAAATTACCCCCTTGGGGATCGTAGCTCCCAATTTAAGAAGTACCAAACCCAAGGAAGAGCGAGAGAGAGGCCAAAGCTGAGCAACAAACTCTGTGTAGAAGCAGCGGCATTCTCTCCTCCCCACTCCCAGCCCCACAGATAAGGAGCAGGGGGGGGGGGCGGAGCGAGAAAGGTCTTCTATTCAGCCTCAGATTCTGAGCATTCAAAAAGTTTGCCAGCATTTCAAACTGCTGCATTCGGACACCTGTGGCTGACTTTCTCTACACCACCATGGTTCTTTCAAAAGAGTCTGGCTACCTGGAGAAGGCAGTCCTGCACACGGCGAGAGCAGGTTCCCCTCCCTCCACCCAGGTAATTAACACAACCCACCAGACCATCTTTGTGCCAGCCAGGCTCCTGGGCATCCCTCTTTGCCACCCAGCAAAAACGAGGGTTTCCGATCAGCTGAGCGGCCCCTTTAAGGAGCTGCTTTTGGCTTCTTGGACCAGAAGCTCCCTGGAAGGAAGCCCAGCCTGTTCCCGAGCCAAAGTCACTTTCACACAAGCAGCTGTTCCACAAGCTTTTTCCTGTCCCTGCTGCGTTCTCAGCAGCAGGCTCAGCTCAGAGACGATACTGCCGGAGCAGCAGGAGGCAGATTCTGGTGCCGTTCAGCAAATCTGCCTCACAGTGCAGAGACTGGCAAGAGCGGCTCTGATACAAACACACACACACACACCCCGTGCAACCAACAGGCGTTTTTAGCACGCCGGCCGGTGGAATCTGGGAGAAGCGTTTTCAGGAGAGGTGGCAGCAGGGGTGAGGAGCCTCCAATATGGCAATCTCCTATTGAGCTTCAGCCCAAGAAAATCCCACGTAGGATGGGTGGGAGAATGCCCATTTTAGCATGCTAAAAATCTCTTTTTTGCCTAAAAATGGTGGAACGTTCCTCTACTGATGTAATCCAATCCCCACCCCCATTCCCAAACTTTGTGGTCTTCTCCTCGAGGCCTGATGTGAGGCTGCTGAGGGCCTTGTCAGGTATTGCCAAGGATCTGCAAAGGGTGGGCCGGAGGGATGGGCTCTGCTGCTTCCTGAGGTCTGTGGCTGGGAAGGTCTTCCGTTCTGCCTGTCCCACAGCAGGATCCAAACTGCGTCCAACTCCTCCCTGCCCCAAGACGAAAGAGTTTAGCAGAGTAGAGCCTTAAAGGGCACAGAGGAAAGGGTGGCAATTGATATTCAGAGTAGCTACCAGCAAAATATAAAATGATGTAGAAACCTATGGAGTTGATTAACTTAGCATCTATCTTCTTAAGCAGTTGTGTGGAATGGAGGAATTTGAAAGAAAGCTACATGGGATTTCCAAAAATTGGAAGGGGGAGGGGATGGGGGTCCTTTCCCGATGATGGCAGTCAGCAGGCTGTTCTTAGGAAGTCTTGGAAAGATCTACTTGTTTTTTGAGAAATTGCACAACACAACAGGTGTCACCAGATGCCGCTTAGATTTCCTGGAGAAAGTCTGAGTCATCAGGCATGGAAGCGAATGGGAAGGCATTAGCCATGGGCACAAGGATTATGCCAGAATCAACCAACAGTAAAAGTCCAGGCTGGTTCTATTGCAATGACAATGGAGAGATTGTTCCTGGGTAGAACCAGCCTTTCAGTTTCACTATCAAACTTAAGAGTTGTAGAGGACAATCTAAAAGAAATAGAAATCTAAAGAAGATCTAAAATATAGAGCTTAAAAATAGACAGTAAATTGGACAACTTTATCAGAAAGAGATAGCTGGGCATGCTTGTGTTGGAATACAGTCTCTGGAGTGGAGGGAAGGCTGCAATGAAATGAAAATGAAAGAGCTTGACTACAACCAATCTACCAATAGCATTGAGGCTGTTAACAGGGAGCAAGTCAGAAATAAATCCGAGATAAGGCATCCCAAGGTCTTTATGAGGAATCTGGAAAGGTTTGCTACACAGCAGGAAGCAAAAGCCTTTACATCTGCTCAGACAGCAAATCCCGGAACACAAACCATAATTTTTTACCCTCAAGAATATCCTACTAGCTGGTTCTCGTGGCACAGCTACAAAGTTCTGCCTCATGGAAGGGAGAATAACACCGTCTCCTGTGGAATAGTTCATGGTCCCCGGCCACGAAGGGGCAAGGGGCTCACCCTGAAGATCAGCTATCCAAGTCTGCATAGATGAAGGCTATCACTGCTACGTGAGGAGTAACTTTTTCCAAGCCAGACTTGTAAGATTGGTCCAGGACTTAGAAGCCGACCATCAACAGCTTCTACCCTATCCGGAGGTTCTGCAACCTGGATAGACACGGTGA